ATGTATGCAGGACCTGCTTATCTCTGGACCTCTTCTCCCCTCATGCCTAAGTGGGCCTCTGCGCTCCCCCTCCAAGTCCTGGTCAGAGTGTGGGGGCCGAACGGTCATTCATTGTCCCTGCGTGCGTGGCTGAATAAGGAGCTCGTGGTGAGCATTCTGCTTGGTACGTTGTTGTTGTTGCTGTTGCTGTTGCTGTTGTTGGTATTGTTGTTGCTAATGTTGTTGTTGTGGTGGTTGTTGTTGTTTTTGCTGCTATTGTTGTTGTTGGTATTGTTGTTGGTGGTGGTGGTGCTGTTGTTGCTGTTGCTGTTGCTGTTGTTGTTGTTGTTGTTGTTGTTGTTGGTGGTGGTGGTGGTGGTGGTGTTGTTGTTGTTGTTGTTGCTGCTGCTGCTGTTGTTGTTGCTGCTGCTGCTGTTGTTGTTGTTGTTGTTGTTGGTGGTGTTGTTGTTGTTGTTGTTGGTGTTGTTGATGTTGATGTTGTTGGTGTTGTTGTTGGTGTTGTTGTTGTTGTTGGTGGTGTTGTTGTTGTTGTTGCTGTTGTTGTTGTTGAACATTATTTATTCTAAAGAATAATTATTGTTGGGCCCCCTGGTGCGCGCCCCCCCTGCGCCGCCTAGGCCGCAGCTACATTTTCATCATTTTCGTGAGGAAGCCTCAGAAAAGAGGGTGTGTACAGGATCCGGTTGTTTTGTTGTAATCCGCTTTCCCTTGCAAAAAACAATAGAAAATGACATTTCTTGTTCTAATATAATCAAATTTCAAGAATCCCTTGCAAAAAATAAGGTAAAGTGGACATTCGCGCGCGCAAGACGAAATCCTTCCAAAACCTTAGTGTTCGCAACGATTTTAACATAAAAACATCAAAAAACCAATGGTTTTTCAACAAAAAACTGTCAAAATCTCATCCCGCGCGCTCTTGCGGATTCGTAGGAAACCCAACACTTTTTAAACATTTCTGTCAAACGGGCTTTTGCGAGCAACTTTTTCGAACTTCTGCGACAACGGTTGCGCACCTGCCAGGGCCATCATCCCTGTCAAATAATACCATGCGGGACACATTCGTTTTTTCTTCGCGCGCGCACGCCGAAATCTCCAAAAACCATTGGGCTTCTTAAGAATTTTAGCACCGCGCATCATAAAATCACACGAATCGCACCGTAGGTCCTCGAAAAACACCTGCACGACTTTTCAAAATTTCTACCCGCGCGCGCTGTCCGAATCCTAAAAAATCCAATGGTTTTCCAACATTTATGTTACATGAGCTCGCGCGAGCTACTTTCGCACGCTCTTCTGTGGGTTAACAAGGCTTAACAACTTCTGTGGGTGTACGAACGTAGGCTTAACAACTTCTGTGGGTGTGTACTCCACGCCAGTGTAGTAGCCACGGTCGTCCGCAGGCCACGAAGTGAAGTGTCCGAACGTCATAGGGCGGGAAGCTGGGTGTGGGTGGTGGCGAAGAGTCGTGTGGATATTTGGTAGAGCTTGCACTGCCCCCCCACAAAGTGGGGGTATTGGCTGGCGTCGCATGAAAACCCTGGCACTGGTGAGAACACTGAGCGTTCGGGTAAAGTGATTGTTGTTGTTGTTGTTGTTGTTGTTGTTGTTGTTGTTGTTGTTGTTTGTGTTGGTGTGGTTGTTGTTGGTGGTGTTGTTGTTGCTGCTATTTTTGCTGTTGCTGCTGATATTGCTATAGTGCTCTAGGGGCTATAACGCTATAGGGCTATATGGCTATAAGCTATTGGGCTCTTGGGCTATGTGGCTATAGGGCTATAGGGCTATAGGGTTGAAGGCACCAGGGTACCTGGGCAACTGGGTGGGCCGCGGAAATCGGCGGCAGAGTTCATCTAACCATATGAATCCGCTAGGATCCTTACAGGGGCAAGCTCTGACTGGGGAACATGCACGCACATACATACATACATGCATACATACATACATATATGTATATACCTCTATATCTATAACTGATGGTGATGACGATGTCGGTGACGCTGATGATTGCTCGGGCGATGAATATGATGATGTTGACGACGACCCTTGGTGGCGAGAATGGTGAGGACGATAATGACGAAGATGCTCATCATCAGGAGTGATTATGATGGTGATTAGGATGATGCTGATGCTGATGCTGATGCTGCGGATGGTGATTGTGATGCTGGTGATGATGATGCCGGTGCTGATGGTGATGAGGATGATGAAGATGAGGATGAGGATGAGGTGATAAGTATGATGATGATAATGATGTTTGTGCTGATGATGGTGATGATGATGTTGTTGGTGATGACGACTCGTAAACGTCGGCTGTGAAAACAAACCTGCATATGAGCGCTCGCGAACTTTGAGCAGAGAAGGCGCCTCAATACACCGGCACCCCCTGAGCTTCGATCTGAAGAAACCGCTGCCCCGAAAAAAAACACCCCTTGCTTCCCCAAAAGGCGCCATGAAACATTGGCCAAGCGGGCCGTTCATTACGGAACTACGAGTAAGCGGATGCCAGATAACGTTTCTGGGGTCCCAGTGAGTTCAGACCCCCCGGCCGCCTCCGAGAAGGGGGTCTCGGCGGCGAGACTCCTCGTTTCGGGGAGGGGGCGAAATGGGTGCGGAAATGATGGGCACCACGGCCAACTTCGCGTCTTCATTTTAAAAGGATGCGTTGTCGGCGCCGCCGCGGACCTTGTTCACTCGAGACAGAAAGTCGCCTGTCCAGCAGCGGCCGCTGTTGGTTTTGGACCACGGTTTCTGTTGGACATCGTACCCGCTTTTTCCGTACCCGCTCGGGCGTGCTATCTTGTGGGCGAAAAAACCACATCCGTATCCGCGGTCTCGCGGGTTGTGCCTTTGGGCCGCGATCCATCGGAGCGTTTTTCGCGGATGTTCCCCGCGGAACGTTGCCGTGCGCTCGCGCATCCGCGGGATCGCGCCCCGGAATCCAGACAGCGAGTCTCACCAGGCGGGGGAGGGGCCGCGCGTCGCAACGGTATTCGGCGGGCCCTGCGGAGCCTTCCTGGCCCCGCCAGGCTGGGGGCCAAGAGACAAGCAGCGTGGCATCGCTCGGATGGCCATCGAGGAAAATCCTGGCCAGTCTTACGAAAAGTTCAGGCGCGACGTCGAAAAATGCACGGGGGAATGGACGTCCGAGCGATGGCGAGACAGGGGCTGGTCCCGCCAGGCCGCGGGCCGGTTTCGGCCTACCGGGGGATTCGCCGGGCCTCGAGACCGCCAACAAACACAGCTCGGGATAGTTCCAAAACCGGCGGCCCGGCGGCCCTGGGGAACGGGTCGGGACGTTTCGGGGGCCGCGCATTGCAAGCGTCAAGACGTCGCATTGTCTGCGCTCCGTGGCGAGTGCGGTCGGCTGGGACGTGGAGGTGCGACGGAGGCGTTGCGCTGGAGAGGCTCCAGGGACTGTCCTATAGGGGCAACGCTAGGGGGGTATGGGCTCGAGGGGGGGGGGCGCAGCGGCCCCAAACCTCATGATGCTCCAACCTACCTTGGCCTGGATCACCAGATAGAATCTCGAGCACCAAGTAAGTACCGAAACTGGAGGGTTCTCACGCGTCGGGCCCTGGGAGGCGACACTCGCTCGACACTGTTTCGATACAGTTCTGGGTGCTCGAAAGTATTTTTCCATGAATCGCCGAGAGGGGCCCAGTAGCCCGCCCCGCCCAGAGGTGTTGTGGGCTCGCTATCCCTATCGCCGATGTATCGGCGATGCGTCGCCAAACCCAGCTCGATGTGCCTCCCGCGAGCTGGCCCCCCCCACCTAAGGGTAAGTCGGGCCTGTCCCTCTACAGGGGGAATCTTCAAAAATAGCAGAAAAAACACGGTATGGGCACTATTTCCTAGCATTTGTTGATTATTGTTGGATGGTTTTTGGTGATCTTTAATTTTTCCTCGAAAGTCGGCCTGTAGGGGGACGTGCCCGACCTCTACCTAACGTTGCCCCCTCAGTGTAGCCTCGCGGCTACCCCTTGGGAGGGGGAGGGGCTGCCCTGGAAGCGTGTCAGCCCCCCGTCTCCAGGAGTTCGCGCAGCCGCTCGAAGTCCGAGGAGGGGGGTATTTTCGAGAGCCCCCTGGGGGGCGCAATTATTGATCGGACGCTACGTGCTGGGAGGTCATCGGCGTGTTTGTGGAAGTCCAGGAGGCTCGAAGGGCGCCCTCGAATACCTCGTAGCCCGGGCCCTGCCAGTGTATCCCCTCTCGGGCCGCTCAAGACCCTCTGAACCGCTCGGATGGTGAGACAGTGTCCCCCCGCCAGTCCAGCCTGGAACGCAAGCTAGGGCCACCACGAGGGTGCGAAGTCTCTCGCGCTTCGCGGTCTGGACGAGATCAGAGGGCGGCGCGAACGCTCGAAGGTAGTCGCGCGTCGCGGAGCGCGACGCGCGAAGGTAGTCGCCCCGGGTACGACGGGGTCGATGGCACGATGTCCAGTAGAGCCTATCTGGATCTGATCGGCCCTCCGCTCTGCTGGTCCCCTGCGTGCCCGCACGCCTGCCACCCTCTCCGTCACGCTGCGGGAAGAGGAGGAGGAGGAGGGCGAGAAGACGACGACGACGAGGACAATGAAAGGGACGAGGACGACAATCTGGGCCTCCTAGATGGGGTCGGAGTAGATGGGGTCGGAGGATCGCGCCGCATCGCCGATGCGGCTCGATGTGGAGCCCGACTTGCTTCACGTCGACGTCGGTCGTGCATCGCCCGCGTCAACGAGGCATCGTTGGTGCATCGCCGATACATCGCCGATGTATCGGCGATGCGGCGTGATTCTCCAACCCCATCTACTCCGACCCCATCTAGGAGGCCTTTAGACGAGGTTCCGGGGAAGAAAACACACACACAGCTAGTCGTCGATTCCCAGGCATCGATGGGGAATGTGAGAAGCGGTGGGGAGGACGAGAATTTGGAAAACAGGGAACATTTGGGGATTCCTAGGGTGCCTATGTATGTGTGTGTGTGTGTGTCCTTTGGCCCCTTCAGATGTTGACGTGGCAGGGAGGGGGATGCGTATCTTCATGGCTACAGCTACGCACATCGTTGCCGCTTTCCCAGACTGGTGCCATGGGCAGGTCGCAGACGATGGATCTGAGGACAAAGCCTGGGATCCAGGAGACAAGGTTCGGTACTGGAGCACTACAGTGAAAGACTGGATTGCCGCTAAGGCTTTCATCTTCCTCTTGCGTGGAAGCTGCAATGATGCCAATCATACTGTTAGACCAAGTGTGGTATACCAACAATTTGCATTGGTTGCGCAACGAGTTTCCAGCGACATGTGTATTCGGAAATGAGCAATCAGAGAACCAGAGGGCTACGTGGAGTGAATGAACATACGTATAGTCCAGGTCGCAGAGAAGGTGTTGTGTCGTTTGTCGGCTCAGCCTGGGGTTGAACTGTGACCATGTTTTTGTAGCGCAGCGCGTATGCAGACGTGCGGTGAGGGGCCAAGCATTAGCCCCAAAACTCACGAGGGCGAGGAGAGGGGCCGCGCAGAAGTTTGGCGCGTGCCAGGGCCAAGCCGGACAAACATGATCTCGGTCGCGTGCCCCCTGGTTCAGGAGCGAAAGAAGGACGTACATGTACATGAATCCACGCTGGTTTCGAGAGTACGCATTGCGCAAATGTTCGTGAAACGCGGCCGGTCTCGGGGATCGAGGGGCCGTGTTCATGTACATAGCTGGGCGCGTACGTCCTTTGTGGGCTCCCTACCTGGTGGCCTCCGGGTTGTCTTCTGGTTGTCCCTCCGTTGTCCCGCGATCGCCCTGGGGGGGCTGACGGGCGATTGGCCCGTCGTTGTCCCGCGGTCGTCCCGTGGTGGTTGTCCCGCGGGCTGTCCAGCGGCTGTCCCGCGGGCTGTCCCGCGGGTTGCTCCGTGAGGATTGCAAAGCGAAATTCAGGAGGGAAAAGAACACAGACATAATTAATCGTCGATTCCCCAGAAAATATTCGAATATATGGGAAATGGGGGGGAAGACACAACCCCAGAAAATATGGGAAAATATGGGGAATCGTTTTATTTGTGTGTATTTATTTCTGTGTCCTGGGGCCCCTTTAGAAACGCATATCAAAACGCAAACCTACTCACAGTTCGAAACGACATCGTCAAAGCAGGTCGAAGCCTAATTCCAATTGCAATCGGACTACACGTTGAATGTTACATCCGAGTGCCATTGGAATTCACATCGACATGAACATCAATCTGCATTCAACATGTGCATCGAACGGCAAGCCGAACATACACATCGACATGTGATTATTCGGGTTCACAGCGAGATGCAAGTTGAAGTGTACGTCCAATTTCACATCGAGCACCACGTCGACATGTGCATCCGACTGCAATCGGAGGCCACATCGAACAACAAATCTAACTACAAATGGAGATGCAACCGATCTTGCAATTCGAAATGCAGATCCGATTGCAAATCGCAATGCGTGTCAGAATGCAACTTTGAATGCAGCTTTCTCTCACACCACACCTTCTCTTCACCCAGAGGGTGGTCGATGAGGTAAGTAAGCATTCGGAAGCTATGTGTTGCCACCCTTTGCGAAGGTTGTGTCGACGGCTCTTGATCATGCTCCTCCTCCTCTGTCCCTTCTCCCTCCCCCTGCCTTCTCGCCCAAGCGAAGCCTTTAAGGGTCGTTGGAGCCCCACTTCCACCCCGCGGATGCCGCCACGTATATCTCGCCGATATCTTGCCCTTCATGCCGTAGCACCTCTCGAGCTAACGTTGGGCCCTCGGTTGCAAGACGGATGGTCGAGTTCGAGTGGCATCGTTTGAGGGATGTTCGACAACAGCCAGGGGGCAGTGGGAAGACTGTGCACAGTCATCTTCCTTGGATTCTTAAAAACAGTTACGGTCTTGACCACAGGCTTACGAACCAGCAGTGTCCACTGCAGGGACCAACGCTACGTCATTCATGTTATTATCATTGGTGTGACCATGTTGCAGCCTTCAGAATTTACATTGCGGACTTGACTGGGTGTCATGACATGGGCGTGTTAACGATTCGGGCGTACGTGTTTACTCCAATCTGCGACGTTCGTGCATGTATGTTGTTAGGGGGGTGCGTTTGCGTGTGCGTGTGCCTGTGTGTTCGGAAATACCTTCGCGCGTGGCGTTCGGCATTATACAGTTGTTGGTATTTGAGTGGGCCATTTTGTCCCGTGAGCCCCAGTCAACCACACGCGACATTCAGCAGTGGATGTGTGGCCGTTTACCAGATGTGATGCCAGCCAGCCACGTTCTATCATTGATTGCATCTCATTCTCCGAGTTCCGAGTACGCATGTTGCTGTTATATATCTCGCTCACCCTCTCTCTCTCTGTTTCCATCTAGCTGCTGCGTGGTCACGATCATTTCACATGCACGTGCATTACATGTGATTCGTTCCAGCTCTCCACTGTCGCCACTACCAATATGCTCCCACAGGTGCAGAAGAGAAACAAAGATGGCACGTACGACCTGAATTGCAAGAAGAACGTAAAAGCGGAACGCGCCGTGGCCTTCTAGCAGATGGGACAGCCACAGTACATGCAACAACCAATTCGACGCAGCATCCGCATGGCAGCACTCGATGGCGTCTTGTTTGGTTTTGGGAGCCGGCGGTGCCGCTTCCTGGCGGGGGGGGGACCATTGGTGATTCGTGTCGCTAGTTTGGGGGCATCGAGTGCGTCAGGGCAGCGCTCTTAGAGCCCAAGTGCTTTTCGTAAACTACACAACGAGCCACAGATAGAGTAGTGGGCGAGCAACATTTCCGTATACGCGGCCTCGCGGGCTGGGCCCCTGGGGCCCCGAGGATCCGGAGCGTGTTGTTCGCAGATGCCCCCGCACGGCACGCATCCGTGCCACCGCGTACCCGCGGGATCGCGCCCCGGGATCCAGGCCGCGAGGGCGCGGATACGGGCATCTTCGCGGCTCGTGATAGTTCAGTTCATTGTCGGGCAGCTTTTCAAGATTAGTTCGGTCATCGACGTGAGGACGGTGGTCCAGGTGCTCACGGGCAATTTCCAGGAAGCAACGCACCTCCAGTCGTGCGGGCCTCGGGAATCGGCCTCTGCGCCTGCGGACGTGGATTCTGGATGTGACAAGGGCGCCCTCGAGGGCGCGAAGTTATTCGCGTTTCGCGGTTCGGCTCCGAGTCCTCCTCATCCTCCTCTTCTCCCCTGGCCCCTGGGGGGCGACGCGAGAGCGCATAGTTATTCGCGCAGCGCGAAGCGCAAAGTTAGGTGCCTTTGATGTACGTGCGCGGCTGCGAAGGTTGGTCATGCCTCGGGAGCCTTGAGACGGGGTCAATGCAAAGTGGTGTCAGCCAGAGTGCCAGATCTTGTAGGATCCTGCAGAGCCAGGGGTGCACTGACCCGGGTTAGGGCGCAGGATCCTGCAGTATTTTGCAGGATCTTGTAAGGCCGACTGACTCGGGTTTGCACTCACCTGGGTCAGTGCGTCCCCCGAGCCCAGACCCCCCTCGCGCCGTGAAAGAAAACACACGACGGGCGTTAGCTTATGGTTTGTTTTCTCGTCTCTCCACTTTCGGCCTCCAGGGGGCCTTACATGGCCCAGGTGCCGGGGCACCCAGGGGGAGGGGCACCCTGGGGGGGCACCGGGGGTTGTCCTGAAGAGAGCGCCGGGCCCCGATCCCATCGCAGATCCTGTTCCCGATTCGATTCGACGGGCTCGCGATCCGGTTCCCGCTTCGGTTCGGGGCCTCGCAAACTGGTTCCCGGATCGATTCCCTGGCGGTCCACAGCGATTTGGTTCCAGGCGATGCAATTACGATTCCCCGATGCGATTCAGGGTTGCGCTGCCGAGTGCCCGGTGCCCGGTGTTCCGTCGCGGCAGAGCTTCCGGAGGCAGCCGTTGCCGTTGCTGCAGCGTCTGTGCGCGCTGGGTTCTCGGGGCTCCTCTGGCCGCTGCGGCGGGCCTTGGCGCAGCTAACAGCGCAGATGGCGAGCTGCGGGCGCACTGTTGCTGTAGCAATTCATGGGAGCCTGGTATACCCTCTTCTCCGTCTTGAGCGTCGATTTGCGTCCGGGAGTCGATGGGATAGCGCCAATATGTCGTCAGTTAGCGTCGATTTAGCTTCGATGATAGTCGATTTAGCGTCGATCAGCATCGATTTGCAGGAGCCGAAAAAATGGTGTGGGAGGCTCCCGCGATTTGCCGCTGAACACTGGGTGCATTGTCTCGGAGCAGCAGGAAGTCGCTTGGCATCGCTCGGACGTGTGCACTTTTCACTGGCGTGGACCATCGAGGAACATCTTGGATTATCGAGCAATACCAAAGACACACACACACACTCACACACACTTGTTGGCGTCGGCGGCAAGGCAGAGCGACTGTGCTGGCGGATAGACACACACACACACACGCACAACATCGAAGACTGCACGAGGAATGAACGTCCGAGCGATGGCGAGGAACTCGGGGGCGGCCAAAACGGGGAGTGACGACTGGGGGGGGGCTGGAATATCATATCATGGTCGGGTGCATGATGTCTCCCCAGCTTTTTATGCCGCCTCTTCGTATCTCATTGCGTTCCTCGGATCGCCGTGGGCCGCGCCCAGGCCTCGGGTCACGATTTGCGATTCCCCCTTTCACTTGGACGCCACAGAAGCGCGTGTGAGCTGCGGCATGTTCTGAGGTTGTTTTTGTCGTTTTGTTGTTTTTGTTTTTGTTCGATGCAACTCCTATGTCGGCTTCCATTTGTTGTTGAGATCGAGATCCGTTACTTTCTTGGAAAGTGAGGTTGGTAGGTGTAAGGGTGGAGGAGGGGTCGGCGTCCGCGGCCTCGCCCACTGGGGCCTGCAGGGGCGTATGCACTGGGGCGGGAATCTTGATCAGGCACCCCAGGGGCCAGGTGGGGTGTTGGCGTACAGTGCCGCGCCGACGACCAACAATCCCTGAGGATCCCCATGGGTTTTCGTAGATTCTGAGTGTGCTGGGGGTCCTGAGCAGGCCCCCCGGGGCCGGGTGAGGCGTGGGCGCACGG